GGGTGGTGGCCCATAGCTACAGTCTCAAAAGTTGAGAGGAAGGCAGGAGGATCAAGATTCAGGGTCATCCTCAGCTACATTGCAAGTTCAAGGCCAGCCTGAGCTACGTAAGAACCTGTCTCAAATAAATACATAATTTATCAATAGACCCAAACTCCTTAGGTCTTCCCCATGCAGGTCCCCAGTAAAAGCACAGTGCACATGTCTCACTAGCCCTAGCTGTTTCCTCTTGCCTCCTCCCATCATCAACTCCCTCGTCAGTGCAGCTGAATTGTGGGAAGCTTGTGTGAGCTTGAGGGTAGAACCAGGTAGTAGGAGAAAAGCCATCCTGTCTTCCCGGTACTGGCACCCCCAGAACCACCTGTACACTGCTCAGAGGCCAGTGGTGATGGGGACCCATTCTCCCATCCCATAGAGACCCTTGCAGCTTGAGTGTGAGCCATGGGCTGTCAGTCATCGGAATCCAGGGATATGGAGCAGTCCCAGGGGCAACCTGAGCGGTCAGAATGATCCAAGAAAGGCCCAAAGTCAGTGTGGGGTCTTGGACAGGTTCTTTGCCATGGGAGGTGATCCCTGTGTCCTGCACCATCTCCATCTCTGGTCCAGTGTTGGGGTCCCCTGGACATCTGCTGCCATCTACTTGGGACGCCTTGGCCTCTTGGCGCTGCCACCCTGGGGCTTGGGGGGATTATTGGGGGGCAGTGGGCTGTGACGCCGACCTCTGCTGTCTGTAGACCCTGCGATGGATGGGAGACTTTAGTTTGTGGTCAGACCAATGAAAGAGAATCCAACACTCACTAGACATTGGGTCTTTAGCCCCATCATGACCACGCGCAGCTCACAGGCCTGGACTCCCCCTACACATATGCGCGTGCGCGCACACACACACCACATATTTGGGACAGGCAGCTGACTTCATCGATACCAGAGTCCTTTTTCAGCTATCATGTGTGACCTCCAAGGCTTTTCCTCCTCACCCTTCAGGCTGAAGTGGCGTACCTGCTCCCTGGTCACTCTGGACTCTGTTTGAAAACATACCTAGCAGCTCTGGCCAAATGCAACAAGGATGGGGGCCTGTGTGGACCCTTCCCTGTCCCTCACACTCAGAGATACAGTATCCGACAGGCTGTCATTGAGAATGCTTGGCTGACCAATCGGCACCTGGGAGAGCCCTTCCTCCAGAGCCCTTTACTATTTAGTGCAAACAGCAGCATGGGGGAGGGTAAGATGCAGCAGCAGAAAGTGAGGTCAGACAGCAGGAAGGACCTCCCACTTGGCTCCCATCCCTCAAAATTCTGGTAGTCCAACAGCCCAGGGATGTTTGACTTCATCCAATGGCTTGGCTGTCAGGTGGTTCAAGTGTTGACAAGATGGTAGGAAGGATACCAGAGGATGCTTGCCGCCCCCCTGGATTGGATTGGGGTAGCTCGGGCTTCTCCATCTGAGATGAGGATGACATGAACGTGGACACTGATGTGGCCATCCTCGTGGCTGGGGTTCAGTAATGCACAGGACAAGTTAGAGTCATAGGGACGAGGCTGTGACCCTCAGGACTGATGTCTAGACTGACCACTGTCCTGCAGAGTGGGGGCTTCCTGTCCAGGAAGGGCCTTAGCTGGGATCTTAGTTAAGCAATCCACAACAGCCTCTGCTTTGGAGGAATAAGCCAGAGTGAGCAATGGTGCAGGGGTTAAATGGTGCAGGATTTTCACCCTAACACTCATGAGGGAGGAGGATTGTGACTTCCAGGCAGCGTGGACTACACTGTGACTATATACATGGCTGGGGAAGGTGCTATCCTAGATCATAAATTGCGGTTGAAGTTATAGAATGAAATAATGTGTGTGTGTGTAGGTGTGTGTGTGATGTGTTTACATGGCAATAAACATCATCATAGAGATGAGAGTACGCTCCCAGATGCTGTTCCTTGGGCCCCAGGCAGGCTACTGACCCTCAGGGATCCCCCCATCTCTGTCTCCTCAGATCTAGGATTACAAACACACACCACCTCAATGGGCTTTATTGTATGGATGTCAGTGATCTCTCTCTGGTCCTCACACTTGCACAGCAAGCATGCACAGAGTTAACTATGCCCTCAGCCCCAGTGAGAATACTTTTTAAAAGAACCTGGAGGCTCCATATGCAGTGGGTGGGAAGGGAATCACCTGGGTGCCCAGACACTTAATCCCTGGCTCCAGTCCCCTGATGTCACCTCCCCAGGACAGAGATGCTCCCCCGTCAATTCTCCTCATCCTGACCCTTGCCCTGCTCATTTCCACCCATTGACTCCACTGAGCAGGGTTCCTGTTCTAATAGTATCCCACTCCCAACTAGGTCTTCCCCTACAACACTGAAGGTCATCAACCCTCCTCCTCCCAGCTGCATCCGGCCCTCTCCTGCCCACCTCGACCCTTGACCCTCAGCTTCCAGCCATTCACTCTGGACTAGACATCTCATTCAAAGTTAAGGGAAATGTTTGAGAGGGGAGCAAAGTGCTCCATCAGGGATGCCAGGAAACTTTTGCTTGGAAAGCCACCTGGTCCCCACTCTCTCCTCCCAGTCAGCAGAAATGGCTGAGCCAGGGAGACAGAGGGGTCAACTTCCAGTCCAGGCTGTCCACTCACTGCCCAGGTCACCCCCAACCCTCTGTCTTCTGAGAGCATTGCTGTCCTCCAAATAGTTCACAAGCAGCGGAGGCCCGGAGAGCAGAAGGCTATATAGCATGGGACACGAATATCCAAGATATCAGTAGGGTAGAGATGGGGGCACAGGTTTGGAGGTACAGTCACTGACCTCGAATGTCACGTGGCAGGAGGGGAGGCCGGCTTGGGGCTGCGTTGTTCTGCCACATGGCGCTGGGGAAGGTGAAACTGACCTCCGGCACATGAAGCATGTTTTCATCTGAAGGAGACACCAGCAATGGGAAATGTTATCTGGAGGGATGCCCTACAAGACTAGAGGCCAGACTAAGGAGTGGGAAAGAGGTGAGTCTCTCCTTCAGAACCTCAGCTCCACAGAGAATGAAAGATGGGGTGGGGGAGGGGGAACAGGGAAGGGGAGGAAGAGCAGCAGGGAGTGAAGAAGAGAACAAAGAGGAGGGGAAAGAAAAGGAAGAAAATGGTAGATTTGGGGATGTATTTTCCTAAATGGTCTGGGTTGGCTTCACATTCTCAATCCGTCTGAGTCAGTCTTGAAGAGTTGGCAGTCCAGGCATACATCACCTCACCAGCCATCACTTGCTGTGGAGACAAGGTCTCAGTGTGCAGCCCAGGCTGTGTAGGCCTCCTGAGTGTTGGGATCAGATGCGTAGAATATAACTCTTGAAGGACCACCTGGTGCTGTTGTGTTTTGTTGTGTGTGTGTGTGTATGTGTGTGTGGTGTGTGTGGCGGGGGGGGTTGTGTGGGTATGGAGATCAGAGGTCAATATTGGATGTCTTTCCTTTATCACTTTGTCTGTTGTTTGTCCAGACTTGGCCTCACTGTGTAGCCCTGGCTGGCCTGAAACTCATTATGCAGTCAAAGCTGGGCTCTGAACTCACAAGGATTTGCTGACCTGTGCCTGGAATTAAAGGCAGGCATGACCCTGCACAGCCTCCTACTTTGGTTTTTTGAGACAGGGTCTCTCACTGAACCTGAAGCTCACTGCTTTGGATAGGAGCTTTGTGTCTCTGCCCCAGGGACTGGGGCTGCAGAGGTGCACTGCAGGGCTGGGCTTTTCGGTGGCTGCGCAAAGCTTTGAAGCATTTTATGGACTAATTGTCTCTGTGATCATAGAAATCCACATCTATAAATAGAACAGTGATGCCTGCAATCCCAGTCCTTGGGAAGGAGGATGACAATCTCAAGACCAGACTGAGCTACATAGCAAAACTTTTCTCAAAATAAATTTTTTTAAAAAATTTCTTTGTCTTTTTTGAGTCAGGGTCTCACATAGCCCAGGCTAGCCTAAAATTCACTACGTAGCCAAGGATGACCTTGAGTTTCCAAATCTCCTGCCTCCACTTCCTAAGTGCTGGGATACAGTCATGCACCATCACACCCATCCATGGTTTTGGGAATGGAACCTGGGGCTCCAGGCTTGTTAGGCAAATACTCAACCAGTTCAAATCCATCCCAACTGTTTATATCTACACAGAAGTAAACTCTGCATCCAGACCTGAACAGATGGACCTAACTTTCCAGGTCACTGGCACATGCACCCAACAGTCAATTTAATCAAACTAAGAAAAACAAAAGCCAAAACTCACACCAAACAGCACGGCCGGCAGGGGACAGATAGCCCACACTGCTCCCTGTCTTTGTCTTGTATGGCTTGAGAAACAGAAAACCTTATTTTTCTTTCTTTGGCTCCATATGTTGTGGAATATTAGTTTAATGATGCAACCATGTGTTGCATTTTTTTAAGTTGCATTTATTTAACTCTGTAAAGCTGTGTTACTTTGTCTAAAACACCTGTTTGTACTCCTAAAGAGCCCAACGGCCAATGGCTAGGCAGAAGAGAGAAATGGGTGGGGCTGCCAGGCAGTGGGAATAAAAAGGAGGAGAAACATGGGCTGGGGGTGGGGTGAGAAGAACAAGGGGCGAGAAAAGAAGAGGGGGACGCCAGGGGCCAGCACCCAGCCACGCAGCCAACTACAGAATAAGAAAGGAAGGAAAGAAAGAAAGAAAGAAAGAAAGAAAGAAAGAAAGAAAGAAAGAAGGAAGGGAGGGGGAGGGAGGGAGGGAGAAAGAATAAAGAAAAGTAAAAAGCCTAGAGTCAAAATGTAGTTAAAGAGAAACGGGATAATTTAAGTTTAAAAAAAAAAAAACTGACTAGAAACAGGCCAAGTTAACGCTGGGCATTCATAAGTAAGAATAAATCTCTATATTTATTTAGGAGCTGGTTGGTGGGCCCCCAAAGAGTAAAAACAAAATAAAACTAAGCAAAAACAAACAAACCAACAAACAAAACCCAACTACACCCATACCTGTGTGAAAACTGAGACTGGGTTTCATCTTGGAGGCCACAGGGACAGCAGGGAAAAAGCTCTTCCCTGGCGGCTTTGGTGGCTGGAGGTGTGCAGGGGACAGCCGGCTCTCAGATGGAGGTTCCGTAGAGGGCTGATGTTTCTCCGTTGTCTGCAGTTTGGAAAGGTACATACATAGAAGGAAGGTACAGGGAAGCACAGAGGATGCTGAGGTCATTTTCGGTAAACACCTACTGGGTGCCAAAGTAGCAGAACCAGCCCCAAGGAAATGAGCAAAGGATGGATGAGTCTGACTCCTTCCCTCTCTTTATGGGGGTGAGTGACACGTGAATGGGTAGGCGTCATCCAGTCTGGTCAAGGCCTGGGTGGGACAGTCAGACAGTCCCCAAGTACGAGAACCCTCCTGCCTTCCAAGTGGGAAGCTTGCTTCTTCTCTCCTTTCTCTCTCCCCCTGGTTTCTGCTACTTCCCTTCTTTTATATTGAACAAATCAGCTGATTGTTTGCTTTTTTTTCTTTTCTTTCTTTATTTTAGTGCTTTGGACTAAGGGTCCTAATATGCTGCCCAGGCTGGCCTCCAGCTCTGAATTCTCTAGCCAGTCTTCTAAATGCTGGTGTTAGAAGCCTGCATCACAATGCCCAGTCTTCGTATCAATCTCAACTCAGGGAATACCCTGCCTGTGTCTAGCAGAGGTTTGGGCTTTGGTGTCCAAAGGCAGGATGTAGGTTGGCCAGACCCTCGGTCACTAGTCTATACCAAACACTGGGAGCACAGAAGCAGATGATAGTGGTGGACCCAAGGAACTGATTCTCTCATGCCACTTAGCAGACTTGTTCTCAAGCCAACTGATGACCCTTTCCTTAAATTAAACTACAAGAACCAACTGATGCCATAAGTCCGTGGTCAGCACCTGCCTAGAATCCCCCAGTGAGGGGATGGGGTGTGGCTCAGTGGTAGAGCATCTGCCTAGAATTCCCTCAATGAGGGGCTGGGGTGTGGCTCAGTGGTAGAGCACCTGCCTAGAATCCCCCAGTGAGGGGCTGGGGTGTGGCTCAGTGGTAGAGCACCTGCCTAGAATCCCCCAGTGAAGGGCTGGGTGTGGTTCAGAAGTAAAGTTCTTGTTTAATGTGTGCAATGTCCTAGGTTCTATCCCTAGTACCATGGAAGGAAGGAAGGAAGGAAGGAAGGAAGGAAGGAAGGGAGGGAGGGAGGGAGGGAGGGAGGGAGGGAGAAGGATATTTAATACTGGGATTGGCACATGGAAGCTCTCAGGTCATGGAGCTGCATTTCTAGGGCTTTAACTGAACAAAACGTTAAGTGGACACTGTGAGTTTGGGTCATGCCATGGGCTCAGACACTGTGAACTGCTGGTGTCAAGGCAGCATACTTTTCTGCTACCTCAAGTGCCGGGATCCCATACATGTGTCACAGTGTGAGTACCCGTCTGCTCTCTCTGCCCTCTTCTTCTCCTGCCCCAGCTTTACCCCAGCAACCAGACAGACATCTACGTACTTGTTGCAGGCTCCAGGTGAATGAGGGTGACCTTTTCCTCCCTGCCTTCCTCTCCAAAGAGCGGTCCCTGCTGGGGCTGGCATGGGGCCACCTCCAGTCTGCAGGGCTGGGGTCCCTGGAGTCTAAGCAGCTGCCCTCTTTGTCATACACTTTGCAGCGACGGCTGGCTGCTATGAGGGCGATGCTCTTGGTGCCCAGGGCCATCTCCTTGAGGGCCTGGACACTCAGAGGGGGGCTGTTCATCTCTCCTGATGGCTGTGGCAGTCTCAGTTCCAAACCAGCTGTGGGCGGCAGTCTAGAGACCAGGCTCTTTACACCTAGAGTATTCGGCTTCTGAGGAAGAAAAGCACAGGTCACCTACAGTCACTATAGAAAGTAATATCATGGGATCCCAGAAGCAGTCCCTTCCCATGCAGTCTAGCTGGGAGGGGGCCTCCCTCTAGCCAGCACCCTGCATACCAACCTCAAGCATGGGAGGCGTCAGCAGGATGCGGAGGGCTGGTGGAGGGAGAAGAGAGTCTTGCTTCCCAAGCCTCCACAATGGAGTGCTTTTTGAGGACCTGTTCCCATCACTGTGGATGAAACAGGAGACACTCTGGAGGCCCTGGGTCCTTTGTCACAGCCTGGGCAGCTAGGATCCAGCCTCTGCTGCTGGTCCAACCCAGAGCACTATAGTCCATGAACTGGGCCAGATGCTGGCCTCAGCTGTGTTGCTGTGGCTATGACCAGGCTGGCTCATACATGCTGGCCACCTAATGTGGGTAGCCAAGAGGTAGCACAGGTTTGCAGTGGATCATGCACTGCCCTCTATAGAAGGCGGAAATACACAGTCACATCAGTCTGGGTTTGTCAAGTTAATCCGGATAGAGACTCATCATGTAAATGAATCTCTAGGCACATCTGTGAAGGGTTATGTAGATCGGGTGAACTGAGGTAGGAAGTCCCACCCTAAATCTTGTGGCTCCATCCCACAGGCTGGGGTCCTGGACTAGATAAAAAGGAAAAAGTGAACTGAGCACCAGCATCCTCTCTCTGCTTCTTAGCTGCAGAAGTCATGTCTTCTCCACCATCATGACGTGTACCCTCCAACGGGCTCGGTAAGAACCCCTGCCTAGAATCCCCCAGTGAGGGACTAGGATCATGGATCAGTGGTAGAGCCCCTGCCTAGAATCCCCCAGTGAGGGACTAGGATCATGGATCAGTGGTAGAGCACCTGCCTGGAGCTCTCCAGGCAAACACTAGGGCCTGGCTAGATTCAGTCCATAGTTCCTGCATGGGGCCGGGGAGGAAAGGCTAGGGCTGTCTCACATAGTACAGCGCTTGCCTTGCATGCACAAAGCCTTGGGCTCCGTCTGCACAAACTGGATATGCCTCGAATCCTAGCTCTGGGGAAGCAGAGGCAAGAGGACTATAAGTTCAAGATCATCCTTGGCCACATAGTGAGCTTAAGGCCTGCCTAGGCTGCATGAGACCCTATCTCAGGACAGGAAAAAAAGGTAAACAAAAAGATATTGAAGTCACCTTTGTGTTCTGTCTCCCTCCCTCTCTGTCCTACCTTAGTAGGTAAGGACACAGCAAGAAGTCAGCCATCTTCCAGCCAGGAAGAGGCCCCTACCAGGTTCTGTCACACCTCTGGGAGGCTAAGCTGGCCGGCTTCCATACTATGAGACAATTCACGTCTCACAATTCATGGTACTTTGTTAAGGCAGCTGCAGTGACAAGTTAATCTTGTCAATTGCTCAGATGTGAACTTTTTTTTTTTTTTTTCGAGATAGGGTTTCTCTGTGTAACAGTCCTATCTGTCCTGCAACTCACTTTGTAGACCGGGTTGGCCTTGAACTCATAGAGATCCTCCTGCCTCTGCCTCCCACATGCTAGGGTTAAAGGCATGCGCCCCCACTGCCCAGCCCAGATGTGAACTCTTAAACTTACAAATAGAGTCCATGGGTGTTGAACTTACTGGTGTGAGTTTTCATCGGCTAAGTGGCACTGAACACACTCGGGACAGAAACACCCAGGAATCGGAAAGGCCACTTCCAGCCTCACACTTGTCAAATGCCTCAACTCACCACTGTCCTATGCAGCCGGTACCTCTTGTAATGAGTCTACTCTTCTTTTTTTTTTTTTTGTTTTTTTTTTTGTTTTTTTTTTGTTTTGTTTTGTTTTTAATTTTTTTTTGTAATTTTATTAAATTATAAAAAGTTTCCATTTACGCCCCTCCTCCCGAGTCTACTCTTCTTTAAGTGTGTGTTATATGTGTGCATGGGCACATGTCTGTGCGGATGCATGAGGAGGAAGTATATATGCATGTGTGTTCATACGAAGGACAGAGGACATATCAACTATCATTCTCCAGACTCTGTTCATCTTGCTTTGAAAATGGAGCCTGGAACTCTCCAAGCAGGTGAGGCTGGCTGGGCTAGTGAATGCTAAGGCGGTCGCCTGTCTCCACCTCCTCAACACAGAGATGGTATTTTACATGTGCCATCCTGCCCAGTTATTTTATGTAGGTTCTAGGGATTGAACTCTGTTCGCTGTGCTTGCAAAGTAAACCCTTTCCCCTCTAAGTTATCTCCTCAGCTCCTCCTTTGTTGAAGACAGGCTCAAGAAGAGGCTATGAGACAGGCGCTGGAGGAGAGAACGTGGGCTTGGAGGTGAGCCCAAGAACCACGGCCTCAGCCCCACACAGGACCTGTTGTTAGCTTCACTCCTGCCCACGCTCCGTGCCCACCTGTCTCTCTCTAGGAGCATCTGAGGCAGCTCAAATGTGGCACCCCATGGGAGGTCCTGCCTGTCACCTGGAGGCTCTCCACTGGTCTCCTCAGGCGGTGGGGGTGATACGTTCATAATGGAGCCATCCTGGAAGCAGAGAAGAGTCAGAACATCAGGGACAAAGGAGACAGCGTCACCAAGCCGAAGGTCTCTGACGGGCCATGAGAAAGCTGGTGTACTTCCTCCACCAGGGCTCCAAGGAAGTCATGAGCCAGAGCCTACCAGCCAGGGCTCCTTAACCTGTATCTATCATGGGACAGCGGAAGCACCATCTTCATTCTCAGAAGCTTCCTAGGACAGTCACTCTGCAGACCACAGTATGACAGGGTCCTAGGGACTGGGAGGAGAGAGAATTATTATTCATTAAGTGAAGAATTTTTATTTGGGAAGAAGAGAAGATTCTAGAAGATGGAAATGGCTTCACAATGATGTGGATTTGTTCAGTACCATGGAAGATATGGTGGCATGCACCTTTAATTCCAGCACTCAGAAGGCAGAGCCAGGGAGATCTCTGTGAATTCAAGGCAATTCTGGTCTACAAAGTGAGTCCCAAGACAGCCAGGGCTATTAGTAAGACCTTGTCTCAAATAGACCAAAATAAACAAAATAGTGTAGTACGAATGAAATAGCGTAGAACACTTGCCTAGAATATGCAAGGTCCTGAGTTCACCCCTTAGTATTCCTCCTGTCTTAGTTAGGATTTCTGTTGTTGCAATGAAACACCAGAACCAAAAAGCAAGTCGGGGAGGACAGGGTTTATGTGGCTTACACTTCAGCACCGCTGTTCATCACTGAAGGAAGTCAGGACAGGAACTCAGACAGGGCAGGATCCTGGAGGCAGGAGTGATGCAGAGGCCATGGAGGGCTGCTGCTTACTGCCTTGCTTCCCATGGCTTTCTCAGCCCACCTTCTTTCAGCAGCCCAGAGATGGCACCACCCACCAAGGGCTGGGCCTTCCACTGGTCACTAAATGAGAAAACGTCTTACAGCTGGATCTCATTGAAGCATTTCCTCAGCTGAGGCTTCTTCCTCTGATGACTCCATGTTTGTGTCAAGTTGACACACAAATCCAGCTAGTCCCGTTCCCTCCCAAAAACAATGATAAATTTTATGCACAGTTTCCCATGCCAAAAAAAAAAAAGGAGGGAAAAAAATGAAGGGAAATGGATGCTTTGATTTGTCAACCAGACACAATTTAGAATCCCATGGAAAGAATGCATCAACGAGAGCCTGTCTACATCTACATGGTGGGGGACCGGTAGGCATGCCTGTGGGGAAAGTCTTGACTACACTAATTGATGTGGGAAGATCTAGCCTCAAGTGGGCAACACCATTCCCTGTGTCCTGGAGTGTGAAAAGGAACAACACAAGCATGTATGCATTCCCGCTCTGCTCTTGACTGCAGATGTGGCTAGTTCAAGTTTCTGCCTTGACAGTGAGAGACCACACCTGGAACAGGACCAGCAAATCCTTCCTCCCGTACAGGTGCTTGTATCCGAGCATTTTAGCACAGCAGCAAAGACGAAGCCATAACAGAAGCAGAGAGAGGTGGAGGAGTGAAGGAGATAAAAGAAAGAGAAAGAAAAGAAAAGGGGGACTGGGGTATAGCTTAGTCATTAAAGTGCTTGCCATGAAAGCACAAGGCCCCAAGTGAATCCCAGAACCCATGTAAAAAATAAATGCCAGGCAGCAAAGGGAATGGGGCGATGGCTCGGTGGATAAAGCTTTTGCCATGCAAGCCTGAGGACCTGCGTTTGGATTGCCAGCACCCACATGAATGAAAGGTGAACATGACACTCCATCTATCATCCCAGCACTCAGGAGGCAGAAACAGGAGATGCCTGGAGCACAGGGGTCACATCCATGAAGCTGTCCTCGGGCATTCACACCCCTAATGCACTTGCACACATGTGCAGAAAAAAATAAGCACACATACATTACACACACACACACACACACACACACACACACAAAGGAAGAACTCTGCAGGTGCAGCTGATGGCTTAACAAGGCTTGTCCATGAGCCTTGAGCGGTCCAGGAGATACGGAGTCCCGGCATCCTCCAGACACTGAGAAATCTTTGGCACATCTGTCACCAGCAGAGGCCAACATGTGGATGACACCAGAGAGAGCAGGGCTAAAGAGGCTCACTGCGGTAAATATGCCAAATGGTCTCCTCCCACTGGTCCACTTAGCCACCCTGGCGAGAACTCCAAAGGCTGCTCCTGCACCCTGGGCATCTGCTTGAAGAAGTTGACGCTAGAGATGCCCAGGTGTGAGTGAGGGGATGCCCTGTGCTGTGAGCGGCTCCCGCATGCTGAGAACCAGCCCAGAGCCCAGTGTGCTGAGCAAAGAGTTTCAGAAAAACCAAAGGCACTTGTGGTCTCTGTGCCAGAAACAGTCCTTTCAGAAGAGCGGCAGGGTTGGGGGTGGGTCAGTGGCAGAGCCACCCTCAAGACTCTGAGTGGCATCCTTAGCATCGAGTCTCTGTCTCTGTCTCTCTCACTCACACACACACACACACTCACAGAAAAAGAGCTACAAGTAGGACTGAGGGCAGGTCAGTGGCCTCTAGTGGCATCCTCAGCGTTCCGAGTTTCTCTGTCTCTTACAACACACACACACACACACACACACACTCACTCACTCACACTCTCACACTCATGGAGAAAGAGCATCAAGCACCATTTTGACCCAGAAATCAAGGTTAATAAGACACACTCTGTCCCTTGGCCTTGGTGTTCTCTGTCCATGTGTGACCCTTACACTCAACTCATCAAGCTGATCATGAGATGCCAGGCCAGCCCCAAGTAAGGGACATCCTAGGGAACAGTCCAGTAGCCCCAAGTAAGGGCCATCCTGCAGAGCAGCCCAGTAGCACCGTCAAGTGTCAGGCATGGGGGGCAGAGAAGTTAAGGACTCTTCCAGACTGAGGAGATGAAGGAGACACAATGGCTAAAGAAAACACAGATCCCAGGCTGAACTGCAGACTGGGAAAAGACAAAGGCACAAAATCAAATGTGGACTGAGAGGTGGGGGGCAGTGCAGCTGGAGAGTTAGTTCATGGGATAAAAGCACTTGCTGCTCTTACAGAGGACCAAGTCTTGTTCCCAGGACCCATGTCTGGCAGTTCACAAGATCCCTGTAACTACAATGTCCGGGCACATACACACACACACACACACACACACACACACACACTATAAATCTAAATAACAGCAAAAACCACTAGAGATTAGGTTCATGACAAAGTGCCTGCCTAAATACCCCAGTGGAGTATTTAAGTGGAGGCATGGTTCAGTAGTAGAGTCTCTGCCTAGAATCCCCCAGTGAGGGGCTGGGGTGTGGCTCAGTGGTAGAGCCCCTGCCTAGAATCCCCCAGTGAGGGGCTGGGGTGTGGCTCAGTGGTAGAGCCCCTGCCTAGAATCCCTCAGTGAGGGGCTGGGGTGTGGCTCAGTGGTAGAGCCCCTGCCTAGAATCCCTCAGTGAGGGGCTGGGGTGTGGCTCAGTGGTAGAGCACCTGCCTAGAATCCCCCAGTGAGAGGTTAGGAGCATGGCTCAGTGGTAGAGCCTAGCATTCATAAGGGCTTGGGTTCCATCCCCAGCATCACAAAGCAACAAGAACAACAAATGATCCCTGGTTATTGGGAACCAGTGGAGAGGGACGGAAAACCAGCAGAACATGAGATGTTTCGGCAGGTATTCTGCCTGGTGTGGTCCTACAGTGGTCAATATTTGTTTTACCTGTTGGTGCAAACCCACAGAATTAAAAATAAGGAGTGAACTGGAACATAAACTATGTCACGAGGGGACAACGATAAGTTGATACAGGTCCACTGATGTCAACAAACAGACCCTCTCTGGAGAGGGACTTGATAATGAAGAATTGCAGACTGCCTAGGGGGTTGGTGAGAACTCTAATATGACATGGATCCAGAACAGCTAAACATTAGAGCCAGGTATAGTGACTCACACCTGCAAGCCTAGTACTTGGGAAGCTGAGGCAGGAGGATTGCAAGTTTCAGATCAGCCTGTGTTATGTAACTAGACCCTTTCTAAATAGCTTTTCCCCAAAACACTCTTTAAAAAGAAAAAAAAAAAAAACAACCAAGGCAGGTGGTGTTGGTGCACGCCTTTAATCCTAGCACTGGGGAGGTAGAAGTAGGCAGATCTCTGAGTTCAAGGCCAGCCTGGTCTACAGAGTGAGTCCCAGGACAGTCAAGACTACACAGAGAAACTCAGTCTCAAAAAACCAAGAGAGAGAGAACTTGAAACTATTCTTCCCTACAGGAGCCTGCAGGAACCCAGAGGAAGAGTGGAAAATTCAAATATTTCTCTGAGTTCCCCAGAAGATGCATCCCAGAGTCACTGAGACAGTTAGGCAATGCTCAGGACTCCCTCCCACCAGTTTTGACTCACCTCAGACTCTTCAGGAATAGCCAAGAGCTAGAGGCATGATCAGGGAGAGAGCAGTGGAGGCCCGACCCAAGGGAACAGCACTCAGACCCACCCACATCTCCAGGAGCCCCTGCTCTACTAGCTCAGTGGACAGGCTGTGGTATTTAATCCTGCTGAACTCCCCTGGCTACTTTGTATGTGTGTACATGTGTGCACTATGCATTTGTATGTGTACATACATGTTCATATGTTCATGCACGTGTGGGAGAACAGAGCATGATGTAGAGGGCAGAGGTAGACTTTGGGTGTTTTTCTCAATCACCCTTCTTTTTTCTTTCTTTCTTTCTTTTTTTTTTTAGAAAGGGTCTCTCACCGAACCAATTCAGCAAGAATTAGCCCAGGGATCCACCTATTTCTGCCGCGCCGGCACTGGGGTAACAGACTCTTTTTTTTTTTTTTTTACTGTGTCCAGGGCCTTGGGTCCCATGCTTGCACAGTAAGTGCATCTGACTGAGTCATCTCTGCAGCTCATCCTCTGGTCCTGGTCCCTGTCTGACTATGCAGCCTGTGGTTCAGCACATGCTCCCCCTGAAACTGACTCTGGGCACTTGGTCCATCAATGTCTCTTTAGTCTCTCTCCCCATGTCCTTGGTGCCCAGCACAGCCCAGCACAGGCTGGCCTAGGGCGAAGGATGTCGTTGATCATGGCTTTGGGCAGAGGTAGGGGAAGTGAGGCTCACTTGGATCGAGCTGGACATCACTGAGAGCTGCAGCAGCAGGCGGTCCAAGGTGCCCTCGCCCAGTTCCCGGAGGTACAGTTGGTATTGCTGCTCCAGAGGTTCCGGGGCTGAAATGCCACTGTCTGAGGGAGCAAAGAAAGCAGCCATGAGAATGTAGTACAACACGCCACCTCAGGCCAGGTGAAAACCACCACTGTGTGCCAAAAAGGGCAACACCCTTCCTGGAATGTTTGAAGGAAAGGAACTTCCTAGACAGAGTCTTTCTTCTCCAGTATACTGTCTTTTATATTTCCATCCATGTTAGCGTACTTTTTCTGAGACAGGGATTCATGTTGTCCAGGCTGGCTTTGAACTCACTGTGTAGCTGTGGATAACCTTGAACCCCTGATCTTCCAGCCAGTACCTGCCAAGTGCTGGGATTACAGGTGTGAACCACCCTCCTTGGCTTATATAGTGCTGGGAACGGAACCCAGAGTCTCACGAAAGCTAGGCAAGCACTCCACCGACTGGGCGGCATCCCCAGCTCTACTTTAATTTTTTTATGATGAATTTTGTGTGTGTGATAATGAAAACAGAGTTCAGGGTCTTTTGGGGATGTGGTCTGGGTCTCACTGTGCAGATCTGTTTGGCTCAGAACTATGTAGACCAGGGTGACCTTGAACTCACAGAGATCTATAGACCTCTGCCTCCTGAGTGATGGATTAAAAGCATACATTTTAGTATTTAGGCATCTGTACTGGCCTGCCCTTGGGCTCCTGACAGGATATCTCCTCAGCTGCAGCCACCCATGTCTCTCTCTCTCTCTCTCTCTCTCTCTCTCTCTCTCTCTCTCTCTCTCCCTCTCTCCTTCTCTGCCTGTCTCTCTGTTTCTCCCCCTCTCTCTGTCTGTCTCTTCTCTTCTGCTGCTCCTGTCCCCAGAGGTTCGTCTCCCCGCTCCCCTTCCTCCTTTTACCTTCTCTTTCCCCTAATAAAAACCCTCCACATGAGTTCTGTCTCTCACGTCTTTCTCTCACATGCTGTTTTTTAAATTACAATGTACACCATTACACTTGGTAAGTCCTGTGTGTCAAACATGCCAAGCAAACACTCTCTCATTGAGCTACACCCCAACTGAAGTTTAAAAGTCTTTTTCTGGCCAGGCGGTGGTGGTGCACACCTTTAATTCCAGCACTTGGGAATGAGAGACAGGCAGATCTCTAAGTTTGAGGCTAGCCTGGTCCACAAAGTGAATTCAAGGTCAGCCAGTGTTATACACAGAAACCCTATCTTGAAAACAAACAAACAAATCTTTTCTATTGTGCTGACAGGTTCCTTTCAATCATAAAATAGCAGTATTGAGCTCGACATGTAGCTCAGTAGTAGAGTGCTTGCCTGGCACAGGTGATGCCCTTGGTTCCATCTCCAGCATCACCAAAACAGGAAAGGGAAGGAAAGAGGGGGGCGAGAAAGGACTGATAATGGCTCCAAAATATAAACAAATTTTTAATTGAAAGTTAAAGGTCAATTCCTAGTACACACACCCAAAAGAACTGAAAAGAGGCATATTGCATAAAACTGAAGATGGCTGGGCAATGATGGCACACGCCTTTAATTCCAGCACTCAGGAGGCAGAGGCAGGCAGAACTTTGAGTTCAAGGACAGCCTAGTCTACAGAGTGAGTTCCAAAGCAGCCAGGGCTACACCGAGAAACCCTGTTTCTATAGAAGAAAAAGGAGGAGGAGGAGGAGGAGGAGGAGGAGCAGGAGGGGGAGGAGGAGAAGGAGAAGGAGAAGGAGAAGGAGAAGGAGAAGGAGGAGAAGGAGAAGAAGAAGAAGAAGAAGAAGAAGAAGAAGAAGAAGAAGAAGAAGAAGAAGAAGAAGAAGAAGAAGAAGAAGAAGAAGAAGAAAAGAAGAAGAAGAGAAGAAAGTTGAATGTGAATGCTCTCCAAAGTGTTGTTCACATAGACGGGGACAACGTGAACAGGTAAGCTCTTAGACTCTTAGACACGGGCTGTTCATGTGGTGGGATTGACTCAGCTACAAAGAGGAATGGCATTGTATGGTATCTGCTACATGAATGAGTCTAAGAAACGGTATGCTAAGTGAAAGAAATTAGACACCAAAGATCACATGATTGAATTCACAAGAAATATCCCAAACAGAGGCAGGAGGATTGTATATTAGCAAACAGCCTGAGTTACACAATGAGATCCAGTCTTAGAGAGAAAGGAAGGGCTGGAAAGACGACTGTGTGGGGGCTGAAGAGATGGCTCAGAGGTTAAGAGCATTGCCTGTTCTTCCAAAGGTCCTGAGTTCAATTCCCAGCAACCACATGGTGGCTCACAACCATCTCATAATGGGGTCTGGTGCCCTCTTCTGGCCTGCAGGTATACACACAGACAGAATATTGTATACATAATAAATAAATATTTTTTTAAAAAGACGACTGTGTGAGGAAAGTACTTTCTGCACAAGCATGAGGACCTGAGTTGGGTCCCTAGTGCCCACACGAAAGGGTATGGCATAGCAGTATGTGACTTTAACTCCAGCGATGGGCAGACAGAGACAGGAAGATCCCTGGGGCTGGCTGGTCAGCTAAGTCCATCTACACAGTGAGTTCCAGGTTCAGAATGAGACCCCGTCTCAAGAAACAAGGTGGTATGTAGTACAAGAAGACATAGATGTTGGCCTCTGATCTCCACACATGCACCCTATGTACATGTGCACACATACAAACACATGCATTCACACATACAATGCAAAACAAATCAAATATTTTTAAGAAGTGAAGACAAGTTTGGGCATGGTGGCACACCTTTAATCCTAGCACTTAGGAGAAAGAGAACACAGAGTTTTCTGTGACTTTAAAACCAATCTGGTCTACACAGCAAGTGCCTGCCAGGGCTACATGGTGAGACTCAAAATAAATAAACAAATTAAAAAAAAACACTAGGGTATCTGAAGCAGGAGGGTTATAAGTTGGAAGACAGCACAAGTTAAATAAACAATGTAACTCTGGGAAGGAAGGGAAGAGGAAAGAAGAGGTAGAGGGGAAAAAGAGAGAGGAAAAGAAGAGGGAGGGGAAGGGTGGGAGGGATGGAGTAGGCACAGGGGGCCAGTCACAGTACGCAGGATGGTGACAGGCTAGTGTCTGTGCTACACTCTTGGGGGGCTATGTTTTCAGACAAAGGGTTTTTAGTTTTTCTGTGGTGCTAGGAATGGAACTCAGGGCTTTAGCTACCAATAAGCTATGTTCCCAATCCCTTTCTTCTCGTGTGTGTGTGTGTGTGTGTGTGAGTGTGTGTGTGCGCGCGCGTGCGCGCACATGCCTGCATGTAAATAGAGGTCAGGGGGCAACCCCAAGTGTCATTCTTCAGACACCATCCACCTTTTGTCTAGGACAAGGTCTCCCATTACCCTGGAACTCCCATTAGCCTGGAAGGCTAGCCTAGCTACCAGCCAGCTCCAGAGATTCACCTGTCCCCACTTCCCATCTGGCTATGGATGGGATTATATGCATGAGCCACCACAATCGCCTTTTCAATGAGTTCTGGGCCTCAAACTTGCATAACAAACTGAGCCATTTCCCCAGCCCTCGGTTTCTCTTTCTAGAACGCAGTATCAGTTGGTCCGATCTGGCCTCACCCTGCATCAGCTGCCGCTGCCCCTGGATGACCTGCTCACACAGCATCCGGTGCTGGTGGTAGCGCTGGATCACGAAGTCCTTCTGGCACAGCAGGTTCTTGCGGCACAAGTTGTCGGCCTGCAGCTCTGTGTTCTCCACCTCCAGCTCGTGGGCCCTGCACAGCAGCTGCAGCACCTCCCGCTGATCCTCACTGGTCACCTGCCTGGGGAGCAGCTTCTCCATCTGAGAGGCCTTCTGCTTGGCGTGGGCCAGGCGCTGCTCTAGTCCAGCCTGGGGGAGGCAAGGGCAGCTTGGGGCAAGCACCAGTGCCAGGTAGTCAACCTCATGAGACGCGTGGCCATCAGTCCTAACGATGAGCCACCGTGAGGGTGAAAACTGACGAGGTCCATTTGACAGGACTTAGAAGACACAAGTAGACAACGGTGTACACGAGGTAGCCTCTGGCCGTGCCAATGAGAGACTCTGTTGACTAAGGCATTTGAGGTGGGAAACCCACCTAAAACAGGGGACCCACCATTCCCTGGACTGGGGTCCTGGGTTGCTTAAGGAGACAGCGAGTTGAGCACCAGCATCCATCTCTCTGCTTCCTGACTGTGGACGCCGTGTAAGCAGCCGTCTCCTGCTCCTGCCACCATGCCTTCCCCGCCAGGAAGGACTGGGTCCTTTTCTTCCCCCAAGGAATTCTTTACTCTCAGAGTCACATAATACAGGAGATCTGGGGCTGGTGAGATGGTTCAGCAGTTAAGAGCACATACTGCTCTTACAGAGGCTGTGAGTTCTGCCCCCATCACCCAGACCGGGCGACTGAAACTCTAGTTCTAGGGGATCCGATGCCCTCTTCTGGTCACCTCAGGCACCTGCCCCCACATGCATATCCCTTCACACACATATAGATACATAAATACAAATAAAAATAAATACTTTCTAAAGAAAAAATGGGAACTTGGTAGGCAGGGTGTTGGCAACTTTACAGAAAATGCGGCCATTCTAGTAGGCACCCCTGAGGAACCCCTAATAAACTCATTTCAATCCTCAAGTAGAGCTTCGATGAGTCTCCTCTTCCCCCTGCCTCTTTTTTGCCAGCGTTACATAGCCCAGGCTAGCCTCAAACTCACTACTAGCTGAAGATGACCTTGAACTCCTGATTCTCCTACTTCCAGAGTGCTGGGATTGCAGGTGTGCCCTACCAACAGTCTAGTATGGTCAGTGCTGGCAATGGAACCTGGGGCTCTGTGCAGACCAGATAAGAGTGCCACTTACTACCCAAGCCACAGTCCCAGCCCTTGAACGAGTCACGGGCCGTTACTGCTGCTCCGGTTTGGGGTCGACTGTTACTTCCTATCTCTCTACCCACCCCATCTGCTCCTTCCTGCAGAAACCACAGAGGTCTCTTGGCCACCTTGTCTACTCACTTCTCTTATCTCCTGAACTACCCCAGCACTTCTGCATGGGGCCATGTGTGGTGTGGAATGGCAGACCCCTCTCCTGGGAACTGACTGCCTTTTCAATACCAGAAAGCAGAGCCACCCACCTCACACTGTGACATGTCTCCAGGATTTTCACAAAGCTGTGGGTGACATTCTATGTCCTGATTCTCTCAATCAGCATGTGAGGGGACACAGGGAGAGCCCAGCTTGTCTACTGTAGGCCCCCTGAACTGTTCACCCTGTATAAAAATGAGCTAGGAGCCCTTGAAACCCACCTACAGCCTGTAGCTCGGTTCTGCACACCCACCAGGCACGGCTCCAGCTCTCTGTACATAGCTGTGGGTATATGGCCGTTTCTATATGTGTTTGTATGTTCTGTATGTTCATCACAAGGGTGTGTGTGTGTACATCTGATGGAGATGCTGCTGATCACGCCTAGGAAACACCTTCCCAGCGATTGTATCCCTTCACTCTGGGGCCTGCTCAGGTGACTCAGCAAAGAAACGATCACACCACTCAACTAACCCCACAAGGCCCTAGAGAGTCACGTGGGGCTCGGGCTGCCTAGCATGCCCAGAGTCTTGGTCCCCAAGGGATGGGCAGATAACAACAGGGAAAGATATGTTCTACCACCTTCCTTCTGATCAGGGATTGATTTCACTCCCTTCCTCCCAACTCCATCCCGACTCCTCTGAAGCCCTCTTCCATTCTGCTCCATACAGCCTCCTGAGTTCCCCTCAACTTCTTAGCTGAGAAACAGCCCCTCCTCTGCCCACTCATACCTGTTCCAGTGACCGTTGCTGCGCTGACCACAAGTCACATCTGTGTCTCTTCCCTCAGCTCTGAACTTGGGGCACAGGACTCACTAGTTTTCCTTGAAGCCCCAGGGCCTGACCTCCAGCTAGATACTTAAAACCTTGCTTTTTAATTGGTCATTTATTGAATGACAGGCTGGCCTCTGCAGGTTCCTGACTGACAGGCTCGCTTCTGCAGGTTCCTGACTGACAGGCTCGCCTCTGCAGGTTCCTGACTGACAGGCTCGCCTCTGCAGGTTCCTGACTGACAGGCTCACCACTGCAGGCTCCAGGCTCGCCTCTGCAGGTTCCTGACTGACAGGCTCGCCTCTGCAGGCTCCTGACCGACAGGCTCGCCTCTGCAGGCTCCTGACCGACAGGCTCACCTCTGCAGGCTCCTGACCGA